TCTTATGAGTTAGGTTTAAATTTTAATTTTAGAGTTAATATTTAATGAAATTAATTTCTTTTTAATATACTAAACAAATATGAGAGGTGCACTTTTAAGATTATTTAAGAAGGGATTAGTTTTAAAGTTTTTTTTTTAATACATTTGATAATGATGGATTATATAACAAGAGATAATACTTTCCTTTTCCTAAATCTTTTTTCATTCCATTTAATGTTCAAATTTGAAATTTCAAACTTAAAATTTTAAATTTTTAACCATTAAACAACCTGTTTAAAATAGTAGTTTTGAAGTTCTTGTTGACACATTAATTGTAAAAAAAAAAAATAAATAAATACAATCGAGCAATCCCTTTTTCTTGAAGTAGGTTTTGATTTCATTTTCTCTAAAATAAATTTAAGTGTTAGGGGAGTGTATTCCATGTATAATTGGAGGGCAAACGGAGGTGAGGGGAGGGAAGATTGTGCAATCAAATTAAAATCTTGTGTCAAAATCTTAGTTTAATCAAATAAAATGATTTTTCCTTCCCTCCTTTCCCTTCACTTTCTCAAACCATACAAACCCTAAAAAAAAAAATAATCTAACAAAAAAGAAAGGAAAAGTGATGTGCAATTGCTTTAAAAGCTGAAAAAAAAAAAAAGGAATCATACCATAAAAATCTATTGGGTCAACCACTCATTGGAATAGGGTAGGCCTACCCAAAATCAAATTCCCATTGGGCTAAGTGAACTGGATCAAATAAAAATAGTGAGGTGAGGCTTATTAGCTTAAGAAAAAGTCCAACATTAAAGCTAGATCCATTTATCAATTTACCCCACTATCTTTCATATTCACAAACATGCCCTTTATTCTTTGTTCTTCCCCAGTTTTTGTCAGATTAGGAGCACAGGGTATCAAAATACTAGTAGTGAATAGGGCTATAAATCAGATTTTCGAAATTTCAAGTCGCCCTGATGCCTCTGCACCGGCAACATTAGCTTGTATATTTGACGGAACATAGACTTTGTACTTTGAAGCTTTTAATAAATATGCAATCACTCCAATGTTATTTCAATAACTTGTGGACAATAGTTTTTTTTATTTTAAATTACATAATAAGAAGTGATTTTTTTTTTATTTTTAAATATATTTTACCTATGTATTATGATATTCAAATTTAAAATTTCTTAATTTCATGAAATGGAAACTACCATTGATAAGCTATTAAAGGTATTAGCTGTACATAATAATTTTTGAAAAAAAATCCTAATAGAATAAACTAATATTCATTCACTTCTCACTCATTTTTTGGATTATGTTCTTGATCTCCATGAATATATTCATGTTTGCTTTGCCATTGAAGACATTAATTTATTCATTTATTCTTCTGGAACTAAAACTTCTTATTAATTGAAAACTTTAAATGAACTTTCTTTTCTTTTCCCTTTTTTTTTTCTTTTATCTTTTGATATGAATTTTCTTAATTATTTCCTGTGCTAACACTGAGAGGTTAATGCTATTTAGATGTGAGATGTTGGTAGTAGTATGATGTTAATTGTTGTATCTATTATTGGCATCATCCTAGAGAAGAAAATTAATTTTTCGCAATGTGCTGAAGTTTGTGCATGTGCATTCAATGTTGAAACAACAAATTAACCTACCAACAAGAGCTTAACCAAATAGTACTCACAAAATTAAAAGTCTTGATTTGGAGTTATGGTTAGGAGTTTAAATATTTACAATGCCAGATAATTAATTTCTTATATATATATGTGTGTATATATATATATATATATATATAACAAATTAAACTTTCTTAGACCAAACAAAAGTTTAGTTAAGTTGATACTCTTAGACCAAAGAAAAGTTTAGTTGAGTTAATACATACTAATTTAAGAATATTGATTTAAGATATGTTAAGAGTTCAAATATATACAACACCAACTAACGAACATATAATGTATCAAAAAACAAAACTTCCTTAGAAATTTCTACATGCTAAGTATGATTTAATAATGATGATATAATACATTGTTGAAGAACAGGGATACCTTTATTAACAAAAACGTACTCAATGTTTGTAATGTAACATGGTATTATGCCAGCACATACTATTTTTAACTCAAATATTATTTAATCTTCTCTACTATTAGTTTACATAAAAGTGAAATGTGTGTATTGCACTTTTTCTAAATAATTAATAAAAGCGTAGGCCTTTTGATATTGGATTTCTCCCTCTATATAATTAAAGAAATGCAACATGTGTAGAGCAAACTGTAAAACAATATTCACTTTAATTTATATATCTGTATATGTAGAAGAAGATAAATGGTGATTAACAATATAAGGACTTTGGCTACCATTTAAATTAGGGGTTGTGTAGCAGAGCAAATTACTTTTTATCACAAATTTGTAAATTTATCGAGGAAAATTTGAATTTAACTTACTTATATAACAATATTTTTCGACAGCATAGTATGATATTAATAGGTTTGGCAAACAGACAAGTTAAGTTGGGTTTGGTTTGAATTAAATCAACTTGAGTGACGGGTTATACAAGCTATATCATAAATAAGTTGTGGGTTGGCAATGCAGGTTAGAGTCAACTGCAAGTTTTATCTTATTTTCATAATTTACAAAATTTTTTAAAAAATTATTATATTAAAATAAAATAAGAGGTATTTGAATCTAACTAAAACTTAAAAGTTTTAAAGTATTATAACTTATTAACATTACACATTTTATAATCTTTACCACAAACATTTAAATTAAAAAAATATATATAAATTATATATAAATAATAAGTTGATTAACAATATTAAACTTAAAATATTAAAATTTCTTGAAAAATGAAATTTGAATTTTGCAATCATCATCTTGAAACATAATTTATCAAGGAGTTTAAGCTTCTCTTTAACATGAAATTGCACTTCCAAGAACTTATTTCACTAGATCATTATGTTTATATCCTAACCTTACATCTTTAATATTTTTAGTTGCATTATCATCTAATTCATAATACTTGATAATTAGATTAAAACCACATAATTTCTAGAGGAGGAAGAAGAAATAATAAGGAGCAAACACTCAAAATAGGTTCAAAACCATGCAAGTAATAGAGAGGAGGTTGAAGTGTATGAATCAATGGAAAGAGTTAATAATAGAAAATTAATTAAAAATAATAAGTATAATTATTTTTTTCTAAATAATAATAAAAAGTAAACAGGTCAATTTATCAACTTATAGGTTAACTCAAACTCGACTTGTGACTTGTGTAGGTTGATCCTGTGAGTTATTTACAAGTCACAGGTTGAGATATATAAACCTCAACCTACTTTCACCTGTCAAGTTAGCATTTGCTTAACATGTTGGGTGGCTTCTTGTCATTCCTTGATACTAATAATTAATTACTTATTAGTTCACGTTTAGCCAAACAAAATAAATTAAAAAGGTGGAAGTCATCTAAACTTTCACGTCATATCATACATAAATTATTTTTATACTTGAATCATTATGTTTGGCTTATAAATAGCACATGTATTTTACTATTCTTTCAATTAAATGTCAATTTGTGACCTTATCTTAAATGCTTTTTACTGGTTACAACTTTTTTCTTTTTCTCTTTTTTTTTTAATAGAACAAATTAATCGATTAAAATTCTCATGGAGATAACGGTGAAGAAAGGGAAGGAGAGTTTGAATCCTAACTATATAGGCCAGTTTGGTTACTCTCTCATGATGGAAAGTTTAGTCGGGCAGATTATGTTACTAGGGGGAAGTTATACAATTTTCTTGAGTTTGTTTGCTCTTTTGGAAAAAATATTTCTTGAGTATTATAGTCGACTATATTTTAAACATTATCAATTATGTTATTTAAAGTAATCATTGTATAGTTAATTATACAAAAGACAATATAATAAGTTATAAACTAAAATAATTAATTATACAAACTAAAATAATTGTTTATGCACACTTTTCATATCTAAAATAATCGATTACAAAACTAAGATTATTGGTTATAAATATTCGCAAACTTTGGAAAGTTTTCTTCCCATGTTTTCGATCAGAAAGAAGGATCCAACCTTAGGCCTAATTCTTTTTTCCCCATAAGCAAAGTTTCATAGTAAAGTTTGCAACAAGAAATACCAAACACATAAATGATACCAAATAGATCCTATGAGTGAGGAAGCATAATTTTGCCAAAAATTTGACTAGATAGTCTATAAGCCTTCCTCAGTTATGACTTTAGTTTGTAAAATGGCATCAAATATGAGTAAATTTCTAGTTGAGGTTTTATATTTGAAATTATAAACAAACTATGTGGTTCCTGATTTCTAGATTAGATGCAATTTTAAAGAGCTTTTTGGATTTTGATAAATAGATACTAGACTGCTAGGATATAGTTGTGCTACATATAGCTAATATGATAGCTAATTTAGCACAAACCAAGCCTTGGTATATGATTATTGAGACTCCAAACTTAGCTTATGTGAGATAATATCACATTAATAATGTTAAATTGATGACTATTGAGTATTGAAGCATATATCAAATATCTATATGTAGGAGAGTGTTATGTGCACTTGGAATTTCTTTGGTTATTTTTTTATTGAATTTTTTTAAAAAAAATATTCAAGTTATAATTAGCCAAAGGAGAGGCTATATTTACCTAGTGCATTTAGTATTTGTTCTCTAGATAAATACCTATAAGGTAATACTTTAATAAAAAATTTATCCATTTACAAACATACAAATGTGAATTTAAAATTTATGCCTGTATTTCCATGATAAACAAAAATTTCTCATTTAAATCATCCATAACTCACGGGATATTAAAAAAAAAGTTTGATCTTGACTTCAAAGGAAAAACATTAATTTTTTATTTTTTTTTGCCAAAAGGAGAAACATTAATGAATAAATGAGAAAAACCAGGGATGCATGAGATTACCCTTTTAAGGTAATGGTTCAGCTGACTTTTCAAAAGACGGTTTTCTTTACATTTTTTTTTTGTCCGAATTTCGAAACTGTTGATATTAAAAGTAAGGATTTGTTAACTTGCGGCTAGGTACACTTTAAGAAGGTATTTATCGTTTTTTTTTAGTAATTATTATAAAAAAAATAAAAATTAATTTTAGCTTTATTAATTATTTAATTAAAATTATCATTATGA